CTGGCTGAAGCTTCAAGTTACACTCCCATAATCTATTTACTATATTTGTTGACTTTAGTTCATGTTCTTCTAATGATGAAGCATAGATAATTAAATCATCTATGTAGACAATGGTCCTCTGTAAGGCCCGTTAATACGTTATCCATCACTCTTTGGAACGTAGTGGGTGCATTTTTTAGTGCAAAGGGCATCCGCGTATATTCAAAGTATACTTCTTCTGAAGAAAAGGCTGTTTTTTCAATATCTTAGTGGTGCATTTCAATTTGATGGAAACCACTTGCTAAATCAAGAGTTTAGAAGTAATTTACTTTTACCTAATTTATCTAATATAGCCACAATATTAGGTATTTAAAATTTGTCTGCTTTGATAACTTCGTTCAATTTCCTGTAATCTATAACCATTCGCCATTTAGTCTTACCGCTCGCGTCCACCTTTTTAGGCACGATCCAAATAGGTGAATTATAAGGGCTATTACTAGGTCTTATTACTTTTTGTGCTAAGAAGTTTCTTGTTTGAATTTTCACTTCCTCTTTATGAATTTGTGGATATCTGTAAGTTTTCGTATAAACTAGCGGTGAGTCACCAGCGTCAATACGATTTCTCACTACGTAACTAAAAGTAAAACGATATCCTTCCAGATGAAAAACGTCGTTAAAATCTTTGCAAATTTTTAAAATAGTTTTTCGTCTTCACTGTTTATGTGCTCAGTTCTTAGAAGGCTTGATATTTTTTCACGCTGTGCGAACGAGTTGTTTAATACTGAATTTACTTTAATTTCATTTCAATTAATACCATTTGCCTGTTCTTAATGAAAAGGAAAATCCATTTCCGTGTTCCGACAAACGGTATTTATACGACCCATATGCGATGTCATTTTTAACATTTATAAGTGCATTAGGTAAAATAATTAATTAATTTATTTTTTCCAATAAGCATTCGCCTTCAGCGACATTTTTTATTTGAATCGGTATTATTTGTTCAGTTCGACCCGATAATTGAAAGATTATAGTAGCATAGTTAAAGGGATAGATAAAGATAACTTAAAACCAATTATATTAGAATTATATGATATAGAGTTAACACAATAAACTAAAAATCAAACTGTTCATTTTACAGTCTAGATATATAATCAAAATTACTTCGTTTACCTAGTTATAACTATGATTATAATAATAATAATAACAGAGTTAAGCGTGGTCTTAATTACACTCTTGGGTCAGTATTAAAAACTTTATTCAGAACAGAGGATAACGAAGATCGAAAAAATATTCTGAATTGATAAAACAAATACAAGATAACCAGATTAAAACGCAATCTTTAATTAAACAACAAATGCACGTTCCTATGTAAATTATGGGATCTTTTAATAAAACTCTTCAAGATTTAATGTTAAATGATAAAATAATAAAATATAACATGCTACTCCTTAAAGATTACATTCAGAAGAATGCTGTCAAAATTTTGAATTAAAACAAAAAGTTTTTGAACTTCACGAATACATTCTTGACATTATGATTGTAAATTAGATGAACTTATCAACGCCATAGATTTCTTTGACATACTAAGTTCACTTATCAATTTGTTAACAAACAGGCATCTGTTTTCCTGTAGGAAACCATAACCATTATGATCATCTAATTAAAAAGGGCCATCTATTCTTAAATCCATTTCGAGGTAAATTATCTTAATTACACTTTGTGCTCCCACGATGTCATCAAATACCTGATTGTTCTGAATATAAATTGGACGCTGTAAAACAAAAGTGCAGTTTTTACTCAACCACCAACTACGAAAGATGTAGCTAGGTTTATTTATAATATTCATTTTTATTAAGTCTTCCCGTCGTCTAAATTGTAACAGCTGCTGCCCGGTCTACTAAGACTCATCTAAAAAGAGTTATAGGAAATTCAACATTTACCTTTGAGAATTTAACCAGGGTCTTGACACAGAGACGTGCTTAAAATCCCGTCCTTTATCCTATTTAAACGATAATCGACGCAGGGTTATTTTTTAGTTGGATAACCGTTTATTACAGGTCCCAATGAGAATTTCTCTCAATTGTATATTTCAGGACGTCAGAGATGGAAGCTTACCAAAAAATGGTTAAAGATATTTTTGGAAAAAGTATTCTGACGAGTATTTAGTAACTTGAAATAATAGGTATAAATAGTCTACTAAAAAGAAGAGCCTGAAATTGATGATATTGTAGTTGTGAGAGATCATAATATTCTTCCAGCAAAATGGTTGTTAGGAAAGAGCGTAGAGAAACACCCTGATAAAGATAGCATTACCCGCGTTGTTACAATTAAAACAAAAAATAGTACTTTTAAACGGCCATGTAACAAATTATGGTTCTTACCTTAAGCTTAGTTTTATAATAATTAATGGATTACTTAGGGTTATTTGTACCTAAAGAGTTTTTACGTTGGGCGGAAAGTTTAATATGGTAAATATTTACTATAATAATACCTGTATAATTTACAACATGAGTATATTAAAAAAAAATATATATATAAATTAAATAATGTAAGTCAATTCTTAGCTCGCTTAGCAACTACTTGACCCTTTACAGCTAGGGTTTGGAATAAAATGTGGTTGTGAAGCGGCATTAAATTCTGTTAGTACATTCTTAGATATTCAACCAAAAGATCTTGTCTTGAAGGTAGATGTTAAAAATGCTTTCAACTCGGTAGATAGGTGCACCCTGTTGACACAAATAAAAGACAAAACACCATTTATATACAATTTCCTATGGCAATGCTATAGATCACCTTCTAAATTGATTTATAAAAACCACCTTTTGTCCTCTTCCGTAGGATGTCAACAAGGTGACCCACTTGGGCCGGCACTTTTTGGTTTAGCTATTCATCCAATTATTTCAAATCTAAATTCTAAATTCAATGTGTGGTATCTGGATGATGGTACGTTAGGAGGAGAAGCTGAATCAGTTTTTTCAGATCTAAAATATCTAATCGAAAATTTATAAAATTGTGTCCTAGAGTTAAAATTTAGTAAATGCGAGCTCTATATTCCTAGTACAGTCAATGAAAAAGAATCCATAATTTCCAAATTTAATGCTCTAGCTCCGGGCATAAAAATTATATGTAAACAGTCATTTTCACTTTTAGGGTCACCAATTTGTGATGAATATTTCAATCAGTTCACTGAACAAAAAGTAATAAAATTTATGTTAGTTGCTGATCGTTTACTAAAAATTAATAATCAAATGACTTTCACAATTATGCGTTATTGTCTGTTTGTACCTCAATTTACCTATGTTTTACATTCAGCACCTTTTTGGAAACACACAAACCTAACACTTTCAATGGACAAAGCAATAAAAGAAATTGTTTCCACTATACTTAATATCGATATTAGTGACAAAATTTGGGACCGGGCTTCCCTTCCTATACGCTTCGGAGGTTTAGGTTTACGCAAAATTTCTAGTGTTGCTCTTCCAGCATTTTTATCTTCGGTCCATAGCACCTATGACCTGAATAAAAAAATATTGTCTAAAACATCTTCAACTGCTGCTATCTCCAATATGGCCAAGGCAAAAACTGCTTGGGAGATATTATCAAAAGTGATTTTCCAACAGAAATGATAGCTCAAAAAAATTGGGACGAGCCGCTCTGTAAATTGGTACGGAATAATCTATTAAACACGTCTGCCAATTCTGCAGATAATGCAGCTGTCGCTGAGTGGGAATTCGATCTTTGGTTACAAGTCTTGAAATCACCGACTGTTGGGACACTTCTAGATAATACAACTTTTCGCCTTTCAGTTTCTCTTCGCCTGGGGGCAACCTGTAACCTCCCCCTTCTTTGCTCTTGCGGTGAAACTGTGGACTCTTTAGGTCATCACGGCTTATCTTGTAGCAGAAGTGCTGGTCGTATCTCTCGGCATGCAAGTATCAATTATATCATCCGTCGAGCTCTTGCTACGGCGTCAGTGCCAGCCATTCTAGAACCGAACGGGCTGACTCGCGACGACGGTAAGAGACCTGATGGGATGTCTTTGATACCTTGAAGGATGGGTCGACCCCTATGGGATGCCACTTGCGTTGATACTTTGGCGCCAACTCATCTTCCACGAACATGTCTTGAGACGGGTGTAGCCGCCACTGCTGCAGAAAGCCTCAAACAGCGAAAATATTCAGGTATAAGTAATACCTACATATTTGAGCCGTTTGGGGTCGAAACGATGGGTCCGTGGGGCCCTGGAGCCCATCGTCTTTATCAAGAGTGAAAAAAAAAACTTTGACAGGTCAGGTGATCAGAAGGCTGGTTTGTACCTCACCCAAAGAATTAGTTTAGCTATTCAAAGAGGAAGCGCTCGCAGCCTTTTGGGTACCTTACCTGTAGGCAATGATCTGGGAGACATTTTTTATTTAGTATAGTTATTATTTTAAGACTTAGTTTAGATAAGTAGTTTTAATTTATTTAATAAAACGGACATTAATTCAACATAATTTTCATATATATTAATACAATATTAAAAATACCGTATCAATCTATATGTAAAAGTTATTGATAGTAACTTTATTGTTTCTGTTGTACCTCCCTTTTAGGGTGATAGGTATGGTTGTAACTAAAGCAACAGTTTTTGTTATTATATGTCAAATATAATATAAATCCAATAGCATTTTAGATTTTCGTGAGAAGATTAACGTTTAATCAAATGCATAAGTGATCAAATATAATAAATAAATAATAATTAAATATAATACAACATCACATACATTGCTCAAATTCCAAGATGAGAGTTAAAACCCCCGTAATATGGAATATCTGAGACAACGAAGGTACCACATCATCCAGACCCGAGATAATTAGGAAAAATCGGTATTCCACATCGACGATGGGGGTACGACGGGGACACGACGGGGTATCGAACCTGCGACCTCAGAGGTAGCGACACCTTGAAACCGGCATGCGGACCTCTCCGCTACGGAGGTCTTCGTATACTTAATATAATAATTTTCATTTCTGTTAAACAGAAGGTGGTTATCCACGGGTGTCCATCTTTATGGGAGGTTCCATCAGTATTGATAGATCGTATGCCAGAGCTCCGCATCTTAGACCTCCGAGGAAATGGAATACGGCATATGAAAGACAGCCTACTAAGCAAACCTCCAAAACTACAACAAGTACATTTAAGCGGTATGTACTGACCATATTATTTTGCTGATATTAGTTCTATTACCTAATTAGCAGTAAATAATATCTTTCGTTTTTAACTTTTAATTATTATTATTATTATTCGTTTTCTTACCTCCTTTAAAACGGATTTTTTTTTGTTTATTTTTTAAGTCTGTTACCTCAATCCTTTTTAGATGTACTGATTTTGGTAACTCCATTTGATGGATTATAATAACATAATTCTCACATGATAACATCTAAATTAGTTGAGCATTTTGTTCTTGTATAAATATAAGGTAATGAAATCGGTGTCTTTTTTTGATAGGCTATTTCCCTCCTGGAAAATATGCGCCCATGATATCTTTTTTATTCTTGATTAGAGTACGTCTTAAGAGCCTAAGAGATAATGACAAGAATGTGTAAACATTTCTAAAGCATGATATTTCATTATCGAAGTACTCCTATATCTTTTTTGTAATAACACTGATTATTTTTTACAGATAGATTTTTTACAGATACAGACAAAAAATATTTTTTGTTTTAATTGGATACGGGTAATGTTATTCTTAATACAGAATGCTTAAAAAATCCACTTGGTCTCTGCAATTTAACAAAACAAACCTATTATGAGTGATCAATCAGACAACATCATCTCCTTAAGATTTAATTAGAAGTAATAATAATTATAATATTGTACTAAATAAATTTTTAGGTGTATCATCATGGCGTCTGGTGTATTATTAAATAATTTAAATTAGTATAAAACAACATCACATCCATTACTCATATCCCAGACTAAGTAGAAAAAGTATTACTCCGACTCGTTATAAACCGAGAACTAAAGACTATACTTACAGCGTTGGAGTAAATTTTACGCTGAGACTGCACTTAGTCAAAATTCATATTATTAAACAGAGACTTAACAAAGGTTAACCTAGTACGAGGTTCTACGGGAGTAATATTTGCTCCTAGAAGGTAGTAGATTTGCTTATTCTCTGTGTAATATGAATATGGATTAATACTAAAATTGCAATTTTAGGGCAAATTTACTCTGACGCTAAACCTTGTTTATAAGTAGCACTGTTAGTTTATAAGTCCGGTCTGCGAGCTCTCGTCCACCACCAAGATCGCCAAATTAACAATTGAACTACTTCGACAGTAATTGTCGAAGTATAATATAAATAATAAATTTCCTGGTATATACGATACCATAATTCCTGTTAACAACTTAACATAAACATTTCAGCCATTAATATAAAAATGAGGAACAGTGAACAACCGGGAAAATAATGTTTGAATATTTATAAGTTAATATTCTTCCTATCTTATAAACATATATGCTATTGATATATTACATGTATTTGTATCATAAATGTAGTAAAACTGTTAAATAAAATATAATTTAAATAGTTCTGTTTACTAAAACTCAACTATCTATTAGTGCTTTTGGTACTGTTAAATTAAACAAATGGATCTGTTACTACGAGTCTATAATTATTCCAAATCATCATTAGAACACAAATTAGGTACGCAAGTGTTCATCATAATTGTAAAACAATTAGACCGTAATGATTTGAACGGACGCGGTAAAGCGGCATTCTCGGAATACCATCGGTATAACAGAAATTCGTAATCCTTCCATTCGAATTTCACATTATAAATACGCTTCGATTCCTCTAATGTTAAAGTAATAATGGTATTCTGCCACTGCTTTGTGGATACCTGTAGTTCAATACTTTTGGTACAGCGGCACTCCATAAATCAATGATGACAGATGTGTTTGGTATCTTGTGATCTAGTAAAAAGAAATCAGTCAAGAACAGATGGTATTGCAGCATTTTAAACCCTTTGTTACGTAGAATTCATAGAATGCAGAATTCACTGAACACAGAAAAGAGGTGTCTGTCTGTGTTCTGTGGCATTGATGTCCATGTCCCACTCTACTGTAATTTATAAATACACAAGTTAAAGAAGGACGGGGTACAATATAAATCGAATGTCGATGATCCAATTGGTATCGATATTCACGGCTTTGAGTTTACCCCGGTACGTTTAAGCTATTGATATGCTTATAGCGTCGTCCTCTGTGTTTATAATCACTTTGTTTCATTGTATGTTCGATCAAAATTTCCAAAATAAAACTAGATACCTATATGATTTAGCGAAAATCTCATCGATCAAACCTTCCATCATGCAGGGCTACCACTTAATTTAAGTGACCACGCCTGTACAAACGTTTATGTTGGCTCGACCTATAATTAGCTTTGTTTTAGTGCTGCTATAAATTGGCTCATAAAGCAAAACAATACCTAATTTCTAAATATGTCTAGGCAATGAAAACAGGAATGACGTAACAGTATAATTTTGCACAAAAGTTTGAATTCTGGTTGGTTCTTATTATATCAAAGTTGACCATGTGCTGGAGTTTTCTTATTTGGGGATGTATTTGCAATGGAATATTTTTCACCTACAAGAAAGTGTCGCCTTCTTAATGGTGCAAAATATTTCATTAAATTTAAACAACAGGAACTTATAGCTCTTATAAACACCTAAAATAATAATTACAGGACAGTTTTCACATATTTGTTCGCTGCATGAAAATAGGGTCCTACAATTATTTTCATAAAAAAGTTAAAGACGTAAAAGGGCTAATGATGATGATGATTTTTTTCGTCATTAGTTTTGAAATTATGGACTTCAATTTACTTAGTAAAAAACATTGTTTTGTCATTTAAAAAAGATTTTGAGTGTTAAAGTGATTACTTTATCCTAAAACTTGCCATGTACGAAATAAGAACCAACCTTCACATTTATAGCCTATGATTACTGTAAACTTAACGCAACTAACAACACAACCAGCCATTTTTTAGTTCTTCATACTGTGGTTGTTAATATGAAATACTTTTTGGCACTTTATTCCACACATTAGTTAATCTCTATCTACCTCATTGATGGCATATGTAATTTGTCTCATTTTATGCATATACTTCGTTACCCTGGTATCCCACGCACGTAACTTAAAATTATTATATTACACACTAAATGCTATTTCTAAAAATAAATATGTGGATGTGGAGAGAAACTATTTTTACGTTATATTTACGTTAATGTCACGTGAAGTTTACTTACATGAAATAACTAAAAAAGAGAATCTCCAATATTTTCAAGATTTTTATCCTGTTACATGAGGTGTTATATAACAGGATAATGAAACATGGGTACAAAATAATCACGACTGTGGAACATAAGATACTTTTAGTTCGTCTTAACTATAACACCTCATATAATATTAATAACATAAGAATATTATATGACAAAGTCTTTGAGGTTATTTCCTTTCGTTACATATTAATATTCAATATTTGTATGTAGCCTGTGACTACCCTTTATTAAGAAGTCCATTATAAGTCCATTAGATGCTTAAGCGTGATCCTTTGAACAATCTGTACCTAAACAACTTAACTACTACTCTATAAGATATATAAGATCTAAAACTTATATGTATGTTATCTGTCCCTCAAAGGCCGGCAGCGCGCTTGTAGCCCCTCTGGTGTTGCAGGTGTCCATGGGCGACGGTAATCACTTACCATCAGGTGATCCGCCTGCTCGTCTGCCCCCTATCCCATAAAAAAAAAATCTGAACTTTGCAATTTGCTCTGTTCATTGTAAATACATACCTCAAAAATAGTTTACATTAAATCCTTATTAAATCCTTGTTAATAAACATAGTTACAGTTACATTTAAAAAGTGACTATTGTGGCAAGTAGAGACATGTTGACAAGAGTTTTATTTTTTGTTTGTTCTGAAATTATGTGACCGTTTGTAAAGATTTTTTCAGCTATGTGTACTGGATGTATATGTATAATATATGAAGCTACGTCATATGTAAGTTACATATGCTTTAATTTAGCCGGACGTACTCGCGTGAAAACTACTCTGTGATTCTGCAAAGTTTAGTAAAGTGAGTTTCGAAATGACATAGGAATATAATTTCTGAGACACGTATAAAGCAATCAATTCGGTTTTGTGTTTTAATACAAAAAAATGAAATTAATAGAATTTCTTCTCTATATGACGTGAATTTTACAGAATCGTTCTGTTGATCAATAAATAAATTGTTAACATAACTGATATAATTATATTTTATTTTTCCTTAAAAATAAACAAAACAATGTTGTGTTAGACACAAAGACAATTGATATGTGATTTATTCAAAACATGTAGGTTTATTCATGTGGAAAAAAATAACGAGAAGCAAACGAAATGTAAGCAATAATATATAATTATTAAGAAAATAAATTGTATGTACTGTATACTTTTATTTATATTTAAGAGCCCATCTAACAACCACTCAATCTAAAAAAGTCCCTTCTACAATCTCGATAATATTATTTTACTAATAACTGTAAAGTCAAGGGGCTTAATAAATTATATTCGAATCTTAAGTTCAAGTACCCACTTAAATGGATTATGTACTGACGAATCAAGGGTGATATTGTAGCTATGTCGCAGCCAAGTGGTTAAATCAGTCGGCCAAATAGGCGGCTAGCCTTATAATTGCTATAACGAGCTGATATTCGATCAGCCGACTAGCTGAACTTAATTAATTAGTAGGATCAGAAATTAAATTAAATAGTGTAGAGTAAGTGATTTTAAATAAAACTTAAAAACTCTTTGTTACGATCTGTAATCGATACGGAATATATATTTTACGAGTTCCCCATATATCGGGGCTGTTGCAAGCGCCACGATCACGGAGTAACTGAAGTTTATACGGGTGGGTGTTATTTAAGGATATATCGATCTACCTGCTTTCGAGAATTTTACATTCGATACCCGTACCACTTTTCACTATCGCACCACTAAGGGCTAGTTTTGTGATCCCTGGTTAACTCAACCATTTGTTAAAATCTTCGACAAATGGTTAAATATTAGAAAAATATGGTTTTTGACCAATAGTTAGCCTAACCAATTGTCAAAATCCTAACTATTGGTCAAAAACTTTTACCATCACTGGGAGAAGGAAATGACCAATGGTAAAAAGAATAGATGTACAGAATAGGTACAACGTAATTGTACAATTACGTTGTACCTATTTGGTCCCTTGTCATTGCTTTTTTTTAAGTTGTTTTTATAAATAACATTCAATTTCACAAGAAAATATTCATTCTCATTTTTGTGGGTTTTGGGTTATTGAAAATAATTTATATTTTTATCTTGATCATCCTTAGTATATTTTGCACTATATAAAATAATTTATTTTCTTGTATCCAAGAGCACATACATATCTATGTCAAATTATTTAAAAAAATATAGAATATCCACGAATAGACAATAAAAAAGGTTAATATAATTACAGTATATAAAATACATATTTGTTTATTTATTTTTCAACATTGTAATGTTGCAGTTAGCATTTCGTCTAACATTTCCCAATAGCTTTCAAAGACATTTGCGTCTCACGTTCGCCGTAGATAATTCCAATTAACCTTAAATTAACGATATCATTCATTCAATATTTTTCAAGAAGACATCACGATCACAACCGCTATGTCATGTCGAATAATTGAACCGTGAAGTTGTCTTTCAAACATCAAGTTGAAAATCAACTTTCGCCGCCAATGGAAATACATTTTTGTATTTCCATTTTTTCAAAGATTTTTTTTTTTAAGTATTAACATTTAAAGTTTTAATTTGTTACAGACTTTTTCTGCCCTTTACATTCAGGTTTTCGAGCACCACAGCATTTATATTTACAAGTTACATTATTGTAATCTAAAGAAGTCGTGAAAGAGAATATCAAATTTTTGAAATCCAAAAACTTCTTCTGTGATTCATGAATTCTACTCTAATAAAACATGTGTAGCGCGTCGGATAATAATCGTTTATTTGAACATCTATTTTATATATGATGAATTCTTTTTATTCGTTCAAATTTATACACCCACGATCCATCTGTGTCAACATCATTAGAAAAAAAGTATTTCACACGCAATTCATTTCAGGAAACCAGTACGATTGTACGGTTGTTATTTTTTTTTTATTTTTAAAAAAGTATTTATTATCTTTTCGAATAAACTGTTTCTGATCGACTTCAAAAGAAAAAGGCGGTTTTATATTCGGAAAAATCTTCCGCGAATTTAAACTTATTTTTAAAATTCTTTTTTATCCGAAAAATATGTTTTGAATGGGCCTATAAAAATTTTGGAAATCGGATTATCAGATTTGTTTCAGTACTTAAATGGTAGAACTTGCCCTCAAAATAATCGATATCACGTAATTTGCTTTCCTGTGACGTATGATTTTAGGATTCCGTCCGCAAAGATTTAAAAACGGGACCCCATTACTAAAACTACGTTATCCATCCATCTGTCTGTCACCAAGCTGTATCTCATGAACCGTGATATTTTCACGCATGATGTATTTCTGTTGCCGCTATAACAAGAAAAATTGAAAAAATTAAATGTTTAAGCGAGCTTGCATGCCCCAAAATAGGTGACTTTTTGAGTTTTTGAGAAATATAATAGTATACGGAACCCTTCGTGCGCGAATCTGACTTTCACTTGGCCAGTTTTTATACAAGTATCACTAAGAATAATATTTTTTTATTGAATCCTACATAATACAATGACAGTTCATATGTTGAAGCCACATCTATTGAACTTGGGTGCTTAATATTAATATTGGGTCTTTACCTATGAAATTGCCATTCGGCCGTGCTGGCCACTTCAAATAAAAAAAAAATTGTCTGGTAATTCTAATTTCAAATTAATTTTATTTTAAAAACATGGAATTCCTTTTTTAAAATCGTTATTTCATCAAAATTTTGGAACAGCACATTTAATTTCTTAGAAATTGATGGATATCGAATAAAATAAAAACAAATAAATGGATATCACTGTCCTTACTAAAAATATTTCTATACATAAAAAGGGACGGCCGCTCGTCCCGCTTCACACTACCAGCACAAGCACACCTTTGATGGTAAGGAAGTTCTATACGAAGCGCGGGCGGCACATAATCAAAGGTGCAACCGTGTGTACATATTTTTATAGATATAATAACTAGCCAATGCTAATGTATAATCTCCACTGAATCCCTTCGCCATAAGTTATAAATGGCGGGAACCGATCTATTCAAATAAACGAAATGGAAAAAAGGATAATCGTATTAGATACTTAAATATTTTCTGATATACCAATATTTGTTCGACATATAAAAATTAGGGATCAATCGATCTAGTTATTTAAAAAAATATATATTTGATATAAAACAATTATCTTCATAGTACAAGAGTTATGTCCTTCGGAAGCCACGCTAAGTCGTTAGGCCAGGTATCTGCAGTTGTTCATAAGCTAGCTGTGGATCACGGCACTGGGCCAGCGTGGTGGTCCACAGCCCATTCTCCATATTCCATTTATTTGATCCGATTCCATCCATAGGAAAGACTGGACCCCTAGCAGTGAGGGCTGTACTAGGCTGGTGATGATAATCTACATTGTGGCATTTATTTACTGTCATAAACGTACTGTTATTTTTAATAAAAATAATAGCCTCTTCATACCTGAGGTCACCGAATGATGAATGACTGGTCCACTAGTAACGGTTGGTTGCTCATCGCAACCACATTTTTATTATTTGCTTTCAAGTAACAAATTTGTTTAGTTTCCGTGGCAATATATTACTAAAGCAATATCAGATATTGTACACTACCCATTATGTTATCTTTTATGAGATATAGAGTGCTTAAATATAATGCAAATTTATAACATTATCATTTTTAGAGTTCCCTTCTAGTTTCGCCATGTCTCTGTCTGTCTGGTCTGTCTGGTTTAGCTCAAAAACTATTGGTACGAGATAGTTGTACACGTTAATTACGCGACAAAGAGGTAAGGTAAAATATCAAAAAATAATTTTAGGATACCGTCCCTACGTGTAAAGTAGGATGATATTGTTTTTCGTCTTCCCCATAGTGTGGCGCATCATTGGATAGGTCTTTTAAAAAATTAGTGGTGTGGGAATGCCGTTTTTCGATTTAGTTAATTAGTACTGACTTATTAAGTTTCAAAGAGCTAATTTTCGTTAGAGTCAAGTGTGTATGTCCCTTCTACCACGTAAACGGTCATTGGTAAAAATTTGAACCTTAGGTAGTACGAATATATACGATAACTAAGTTAAAAGAAAAACTATCACATTTAAGTTGGCTTTAGAAGCTTACGAGTAATAGTCGGCCAATTGTGTTTAACTCGATAATTTCTAACAACTGCATAGAAAGCAACGAACGTATTTTTTTACTTTTTTATAATAGATAATCAAGTCAGACTAACACTGGCCAGTTTTTTACAAATACTATGAAAAGCAAAACATTTTTTAGCTAATCTTTACATTGCTACTACACAACGAGTGTACTACACTACTACTACATGGGCGAGTCAGACTTGCAATTGGAACCTCTTTTTATTTTTTATTGATACGTTATCCACATAATATTGGTAAATCTAGTGACTTTTGTATCTCAGACTATTGCTTCTAAATAATTATATTGCATAGCGACTTCGACTGTTTTTTCAAGGACGTATCAAGTACAAAAACTTATTATGGCATTTATTACTGATCATAATTAACGAAATAAATTCCGGAATATTTCTAAACGGTCTTATGATTTTGCTAACATCATATCCGTAAATAGAATCTATGCACAAAGGCAGTATCAGCTCCTGCCTCCATTGCATATAAAATTATCAAAAAACGCGTTTTTTTTCAAGCCGTATTGTTTTAGGAATTGAAAATATTATTGTTATAGGCAACCAATGGGACTGTAGTGACGGTGGCCTTGATTGGCTAGCGATGAAAGAAGATAACTCTACTGTCAAGAAACGAATAACTGACTACAAGATATTAACTTGCCACCAAAAGTTGTATAGAGGGAAGCCACTACATGTTATCATGGATATTATTAGAGTAAGTTTCCGTTCCCTCTGGAGATTTTCTAAGGAACATAATGTTAATATTTGTGATTAATGGCAAGGTTATATGGCCTGAGTGCGATGTTACTGTTTATTTTGGTCCAAGTAACAAATTATTGCTGTCAAAATCCTTCGTCTCATTTCATCTTGCAAATTGGGTCCTAAGAATTAAATTGTGTAATTGTTGGTTTATACATAATTAAGCAGTAAGTAGATTTTAATTTAAACTAATGTAATTAATTACTTACGTGTAAATACTCAAATAAGTAATAAGTACTTATGACCTTAATTAACTTGCTACTTATTACTTTTTTGTGTGTTTACACGTACATAATTACATAAAATTAAAAATCTAGCTATAAAAACTAAACTTCCTACTTTATTTGGCGTAAACCAGCCATAAGTACCTTAACCGCAGCATTGATGTAAAGAAAGGAGTTTAGAGGTCACACTAAAAGCTTTTAGAATGTCCAATAAGAAAGGGAACCGCCCAGAGCTTAATTTAAATGAATTATGAATCCTCTGGGTCTATAGTTGTATGTATAATGAATTCCTTTGATTTTCGTTTATACGGTACGCTCGCTCGCAATCGTACACTTTGTTTATCAGACGTTTTCGCTGTAAATAAATATTTAGGTCAATAAATTATTTTATTAATTATTCTGATGACGTACAAATATTAGCGTTACGTTGGTATTGAACAATAAATTACAATTACAGCAAATTCTATAATAAATATTGTATCAAGTTTGTCTATCTTTAATTAAAATCAATTTAATGTTTGATCTGATCTAATAAAGGGTTCATACAGTACAAATTCAATCAGAATTAATAAAAATAAATCCAAAAACTAAAAGTTGCGGGCACAGTATGTAAAAAAATGAAACTATAATTTCGAATATTTTCTTTCAAAATAAAAACAATGCAACATGACCCTTGAAAAGATTCTGTTCAGAAATAAGAACAATGTAATCTTAATACTAAAAAAAAATCAGAAAATTAGTTTTTAAATAAATAAACAATTATTTTAGCGTTTATTTTGCACAATATACCATCATCTCAGGGATTCTCAAAGCGCTTGGTAAACAGATTTCAGTATACGACGTGATCTAAACTCGACCCAATTAGTTATTACAAGTTATTATTTGACACTTTCAAGATACGAAGATACAGTTATATGTTTGTAGGTACCAACTCGTTATAGGAATAACTAAGATTTTATCATGAACGCCTATGCCTGTGCATTTTTACATAATTTCTATTATTTATATTTTTAAATATGGGGTTACAGTATCAGATTATTTTAAACATGGTACCCCTCGCCCAATACAATTTAGGATTCTAGGTTTCGTATCGTGTTTTTCAATTTCACTTATAGCTCTTAAATTTTAACACTAATATATTAGCAGAGCTGTCAAAAATACAGCAAAGAAAGCAGGCTCCAACATATCACGGTCATGGCCATAAAAGTTTAATCAAATAAAACCTACTTCAAAAGGTAAAAAAATGTTAAAATTCAATCAAAACAAATTTCCACAGACGATGCACTTGACTTGCCCGAGGCCCTGCGAATGTGAAATGACACACGTGGTATCAGACACGGCGGGCCTCATAATACCTCTCATCACAGTAAACTGTTCAGGAAGAAAATTAGATTCACCGCCTCTGGCTTTACCACCAAGCGTCACTACCCTGCGTCTGGAGGACAACAAGGTAACATGGTATGAATTTTGATGTTAGTTGGCATGTTAGATAAGCTTCCAATAGATACACTTTAAACCATAATCTTAAAGCGTCTGATGTAAAATTTGATGCTTTATAATCATGAATATCTAGGTCGATGTCTAAAATATGGTTGTTAAGCAAATTTCGCAAAAGAGGGTCGTAGGTTGGGTTACCAAAAATTTAATATCTCGAGCTCCTCCGTACTTCAGCCGTTGGTCCCGTAAGCAACCCTCAATTTACACTCGGCCCGTTGGTAGTTTATGGCACATTCTCCCTATTCGATTTCATTCATAGGATCATGGAGTCCCTGTGGGGACATTATTAGACTAGTGATGTGTCGTAAATTTAACATTGCAGCCGTGTCAAAAGTTTGAGTTCACGTGAACTTTGTAACGTAGTAGCAAGAATATTTATATACGGAAGGTGTTTTATTTCGCCGCCGTAAAATAAATATGATCTGTGTTGCATGTTCAAACGGTAGACATATTAAACTTGTGTGACCGTTGCAAAAATATTCCGTATTTATAAAGTTGGCTGAGCTTGCATTTAAGATGCTTGTACATTTTTGACATAGTAGTGTTGTTTTGTTGCTTTTTTGAAATTAATTTTCAGTACCATCGATAAGTATGTACCGTTAGCAACCAAAAGAGAAGGTTACTCCTACGAAAGGTTCATATTTCTATGATCGATTTTCAGCCTAACTGATTACGTTTCAAATTATTACAGAGCCTTATCTAGCCCCATGAGACCCTGTTACTCGCATCTAGTTGAAGTTACCCTCCATAGTTAAATGTTGCATAATAAGGTTATCTAAAGCGACAATTGTTTCTTAGCCAATTCCACCCCGCGTGCCTGTCGCAGTGATGCCAAAATGGGCCTTTGGGAGCTAAATCTAGCCCTTATTATGTTTTTCACCCCTATAATAAAACTATTTAGCCATTGCTTAGGATATTACAATAAAAAAGGGTAGATAAGTAATGTCAGTAGTAATATGATGGCAAAAATTGTCCCCAGCATACACGCACGCACATGGCACGATACTCTCCAATTATTCGTAGACTATAATTGAACATGTCACAGAGCAGACCTATATTTAAGACGTGTATTTAATGCATGTTTAATGCTTACTTTTACCGAAACGAGTTAAAAACTTCGACAGTCAACTTAAAAATATTGATGTTTAACATTACTCTATTATTTCTTCTTGTCTTTGGTGTATATCTGCCCGTATATAAATAATAAAATTTTTAAGACGAAATTTTTTGACTGCCAGTAACCTATCGACCCATTTTTATTGTAATATTATTGATAAAAAAATAAATTTTTCAAAACTCAACGCACTTAAGCGGGCAACACCAACGTAAACCCTGCCTCGGGTTATTATTGTCGAAAGTGACGAGGAAATTAAGTGGCTACTGAGTGTGTAAATAAAGCTAGTGATATTTCCACAAATCTTCATTTTCCTACGAAGTAAAGGTCCTTGCCAAAACATAGATATCAATCAATAATTACCAAAAAATGAAAGTCAATATAAAAACAAAGCTAAATAAACATCAAGTATAAAAAAAACTATAAAAATAAGTCGGTTCAGCTGCTCAACACAGGTATTTCCCCGAAAACAATTTGTTAATAGTCAATTGAACTACAATTTTTTAAATTAATGTTCATATAAACGGTCTAAAAGTTTTATGGTGTTCAGAAATTCAGTGACTAAGTAGGAGCAATATGTGTGAATTGAAGTATTTTATTTTCATCAAAATAGTAATTTGGCCTTTTTTTAATTATTGTTCAAATCTGGCCTTTTTTTAAATCATAATTTAGCCCCAGAACATGTCACCGAGTTGGCAACACTAGTCTGTCGCCACGCACGGGTGCCTACATTTCCACGATACGCAGAACAGCGCTATTGTTATTAGTTCCAAACTAAATATATGCAACCAATCAACGCGGTGATTTACGAAGCGAGGCGGTGCAACAAATAAATCAAATTAAAAGTATTATATTGTATACCTTATATATTATAACCTAGTAACTTATAACTAAAGATTACAGTATTGTCTTAAAATTTATCTCCTAATTTCATTAATTTGATGTACAAAAACACACTAAATAAAAAAAAACATAACCCTCCTTATGTTTACAGTCGGGTAATAAAATAATTAAACGGGTCATAAATAGTTGAACGGATTTGACAGTACATGAGTTATATATATTAAGAAATTGTTTTGTCTTATTAACAGTTTTAGATATTTTAAATGCCACATCTAGATGCAGGGCAGATTAAAAGCTTCGCACATCTATGTATTGCACTAATAGATACTCCTTCTTTACTTGAAAAAAATAGTTTATACAGTGATTAAAAATCCAATTGTACGTTACGTTTTTCTTGGTGTTAAAATTGTGTATGTGTTGTAATTCTCAGTAAGTGAATTTTTGTAATTCTTTTGAGAATAAAGATTTCTATAACCATAAATAGTCTGCTGTTGCAAAACAATAGAAAATGACAAAGTGATAAAATATCAAAAATTTAAAAATCGATTAATCATATATCTAAAGAGGTCGGCAAAGATGTTGTCATCATTATGCTTCAGCTTCAAAAGCGCCTTGTTATTTTTTCTTTAAAAATAATCTCTCGTTTATTATACAATCACCATACATATTAGTGACAAAACATAACGAAACTGCGTCAAGGGTGTATTCTTTAACGATATCTTGCGTTTCTTCACCTTTTCATAAAGATCTGATTACCTTTTTTTACTTTTGTTATTGCTTATGATGGACTCAATGTTGCAAAAATTAAATAACATACAGCCAATATGCACAGGCTAAAAATACCACCGTTGTTCTTTTTCAATCTATAGAATCTGAAACTTATAAAGTAAATAGAACTCCGTCCGACTGTGAGTCTGAGTCTCCGAACTTCAGAGTTTGCACCTAAACTCAACTCCGGAGCTGACACACTCAGATTTTCAATTCCTATATGGAAAAGATTAAATTAGCCTTAGTAATAAGCCTTCATTTGTCCATCAATTATTTTTTTATTTATTGAACTTTATTGGCCAAAAAAATATATGATAAAAAAGGTAACTTTATCCTTAAAGAATTCCCTATCAATCAAATGCAAGCACAAATGTCTGAAAGTTCTATCTGCCACGACACGGACCAAATATGACAGCCACTTGAGGCATTGCAAAAGCACTAAGCGACGATTATTAATGGTCTGACAAACTGCAGAAACGGTTTTTGATAAGTGAATAATTACATTTATTTATTAGTTTTGTTCTGCTTCTGTCCATAGAAAACAGCGATTTTATATGGAGAACGTACTCAGCTTTCCGCATCTATTCAGCCTTCGCGGCAAACGGGTAGTAAATGAAAACAAATTTGTTTTTATAATACAAATGTTATCAATAGTCAGCACCGTGTCGCTACGTTCAGCTCTGTACACCGATGACCTCTATGCTTTATCGACAGGATGCGACTAAATAGTTGCTTAAAATCTAATAGGCGCCTTACGCGGTAAATAAAAGCCCTTTAACGGAGATGACATACTACGACGCATTCTCAGAATCTTACAACGCTGTACGCGACTGATAGAAGCAAAACTATATGTGACCAAAATCATTTAGTAAAACGCGAATAGAGCTGAATATTATATATTGTTCCCTACTGAAAGTACTCTATTAGGTTAGGGGAAAAGTATTTTCGAATATAATATGCATAAACTTGTAATAAAATCTTTGTGACTACATCATTTGTATGTTGTTAATATTAGTCAAACTCTGGAACAGTTTGTCGCCAGCGGCATTTCCGGACCGATACGACTTTCAAACTTTCAAGCGTAGAGCATATTCGTCCCTCAAAGGCCGGCAGCGTGCTTTTAGCCCCTCTGGTGTTGCAGGTGTCCATGGCGACGGTAATCACTTACCATCGGGTGATCCGTCTGTTCGTCTGCCCCCTTATGCCATAATAAAAAAAAAAACCTCTATATCATTTGTATCTGGCTGGTTTCCGTATCATTAAAAACATTCAAATTTTAAAGAAGATAAATCCGAATTAAAATTAGGAAAATGTGTGATTTTCATTTGTTTTCTTTTTTTGCTGTCGAAATGAGTGAATCTAATAAAGAAATTCAAAATATTTTAAAATTTTATTACAAAAAAGGTAAAAATTCAATTCAAATTTGTGACGTTTATGGACCTAGTGCAGTTTCTGTGACAGTAGCACAAATTTGGTTTAAGCGTTTTCAGTTAGGAAATTTTTATGCCAAAGATGCACGTCGCTCCGGTCGCCCTGTTACAGATAAAATGGATGCCATTTTTAAAAAAGTTAAGCAAGATTGGCATATCAGTAGTTATGACATCGCTGAAGAATTGGGAATTGACCACAAAACAGTTTTGGAACAAACATTTGAAAAAACTGGGTGCACAAAAGGTTGGATATTTGGGAACTCACTGAAAGAAGAAACGGGTGCTCATTTGTGATTTTTTTTATTACGGCGTAATGAAACCGAACCATTTTTGAAGCAGCTAATAACTGGTTATGAAAAGTGGAACACGTACGACTAAAACGTGAGAAAAAGGTCTTGGTCAAAGGTCCGTCAGGCTTCACAGACTGTGGCGAGAACCGGGTTAAGTCGTAATAAGGTGATGCTGCGTGTATGTTGAGATTGGAAGGGTATTATTCATTATGAGCTAAGGCAGACTCGACTCTGATCTCTACTAAGAACAACATATGAGATTAAAACAAGAAGTTATGAGAAAGCGACCAGAATTAATCAATAGAAGAGGTGTGGTTTTTTATCATGGTAATGTTAGACCCCACACATTTTTTGCCACTCAGCAAAAATTAAGAGAGTTTGGCTGGGAAATGTTAATGCATGCGCCATATAGTCCGACCTTGCACCTTCAAATTTCCACCTGTTTGGTTCTCTTCCAAATTTTTTAGTCACGCAAGGACTACGAAAACCACTTGTCGCGGTTTTTTGATCAGAAAACCCCAAAATTGCTATATAAATGGGATCATGTCCCTACCTACAAGATAGCAAAAATTTTTCGAACGAAATGGTAACTACATACTTTAGTTTAATGTAAATAAACTTTATAAAAAATGTTTTTATTTTCAAATAAAATGCGTAAAAACTTTCCCCAACCTATTATGATTACAAACTAGAAGTGCGTCATTGCTGTTGCAACATCATTAAAAATAGACTAATTTCATAACAACAACATCTTATATTTTTATTATAGCTGTTCATATCAACAAAGTCGTCCTCAAAGAACCCAACTCAATATTATAGGCTTGGCATTGACATGTGTCATTCTTTAATAAACACGCAAAAGATCCTCTTTGATTTTTTTGTGAAAAGTTCCTCCCTCTTTCCTCTTTCGTAGCCGAGTGGTTCCCACGCCGGTTTCAAGGCTTTAGGGCAAAATAAATCAATCGGAATCATTAATCATTCAATTTGCATTATATCTGATTATAATTTGTTTTCAAATCATGTCCCCACTAGCTCTATTTCTGATTACTAAATTATGTATCATTAATCATGATTTCAGAAAATAACTTACCTTGGTTTCCGGGTTATTAATTTGATTAAGAAATAGGAAACAAAGTAGGTAGCTAGTTAACATCAAACTTAAAACAAGTTAAAGTTTCCACGGCACGCTGTAGTAAATCATTCGGTAATATAAAGTTGCCATAGCAACAAACAACGTAGGTTAATAATGAAAACCGAAATTTAATTTAAGCAATTTTAGTACCCTAAATTTGCTCTTACCGAATTCGCAAGGAAAGTTTTCGAACATGTCACGAAAACGGAATTCGCATAACCACAATCGAAAACTTTTAATAGTTCGAATCGAAATATAGGCTGCGACTGCGTTTTACAAATTGCTTTCTATTGTAACAACAGCCTAGATTCCGACGTCGTGTGCTGTCTTAGCAAAGAGATTTAATCAAATAAAACCCACTTCAAAAGGGAATAAAGGTTTCATTTCATTGAGTTCAAGGCTTTTTAAAACAAAATAAGATGCTGCTGCATGTTTACTTACACACCTATCTGCATGTTTACTCTCAAACGCAATCGTGATCTGTCGACATCGCAATTGTGCCGTCTCGTTCTCTCGATTGGGTACACCAGTGCCGGAATATGCTACTGGGTAGGGTACCTAAACGAGAGTAAGGAAACGCACGATCGCGATTGCATGCAGGTCCGGATCTACAACTTTTTCCAACCGGCGCAGAAACTTGATATTGCGCCCGCACACCAGCGAAAATATTTTTGCAATGTATGATTTAATTACCTTTATTAAATAAAATGCCGATGTCCTTTAATTAATGTAGCCGATGTATATGAATTTTCGTTTTTACCTGTAATATATTGACTTTGACAAAACTTGTACTTAAGTGTGGTCCCAATTTTGGGGCAGATGTCCCGGAAAAACATATAGTCATTAAAAGTCTCCGTTTCTCGTCTCTGTTCTTTGAAGTTTAGACTAATAGGCACTTCCTATTCCCATCGCTAGTTATCACAGAAAAGTAAGCTTTATACCCAACAGTGGTATTACCTCTGGCGGGAATTACGATAGTCTATTACCACAATTGAGGACGAGCATGATGTGGGTGGAATGGTAGCGAGAATGTTAGAAAAACTCTGTGAGCAAAGCACATACTTAATATATTTTTTATTATTTATGCTCATAAATAAATATATTAGAGTCGCGGACTTCAGCTATACTTAGCTTAATTTTGGGTTGCCATCCTAAAAGGTTGCGGACCACTTATCTAAGTATATAGTGTTACTGAACACTATACTAGTTCATTACGACGACGACGCTAACAACTAAGTTCCTGGAATTCTGTAGAGGCCATCAATTAATTCTTCTCTTGGCTTCAAATATCAAACAGTTACTCTAGTTAAAGACTGCAAAAACTTAATTAATATATGTAAATCACATGCAAATCATAAGTTATTACTATATGATTTTACGACGGGCTAATCATAAAATCTAATTATAATTTATCATAAACTTAAGCACTGCATAAACTTTGAAAGTGATGCATAGAAAACTTTTAATTAAGATTTAGGGTTGGTTGCACCAACTTACTTTAATATGTTAAACTACCCTATTAGCAAGTAATGAGTTGCATCATTTAGCAATAGTTAGATGGCGTCATAACTTCAGAACCGCCCAAGCTTAGTTGGTTACAGTTATTGTTTAACTATGCCAAGAAAGAGCAATATGAGTAGCTCGTTGGCGTAGGTAGTGGATAAGCGCCGCAGCCCGCGATCGTTGTCGTTAAGCAACTTTCCCAAGGGTCAGTCACGGGATGGGTGACCAAAAATTAAAATTAAATTATTATCTTGAGCTACTCCGTGCTTCGGAAGGCACGTTAAGCCGTTGGTTCCGGCTGCATTTGCAGTCGTTAATACCCTCCAATCCGCATTGGGCCAGCGTGGAGGGGCATGGCCCATCCTCCTTAACCATCCATAAGGAAGGCCTGAGCCCCTGCAGTAGGGACGTAAAAGGGCTGGTGACGATGATGATGATGATGAAGAAAGAGCATGGTATAACCATGGTACAATGAATTCTGAAGTCAATGTAAAGCCAGCATGACAGTTGTCGGCAAATTTGACACAAACCTGCTGTCACGATGCAATTCAGCCTAAGAAAATTTCGATGCAAGTTTTACTAAGGTCACTTTTATTATAGAATTAACTAATACTAAACCATTACACTGATCCGTGGAATTATTCAATAGAAAAACTTATATAAGGTGGTAATATTATTACACTTTATATAAGCCAGGCTTAATATGCCAGGACTTCTTGGAATAAATAAGTTAGGTATGTATACTGAACAACTTTTACTATGGGAGCAACCCTGAATTCACGAAATAATAATCAACTATTTCATACAAAATTGTAATACCTTCAATCCCTAACAATATGAAATGGCTGATTATTTTTCGTGAATTCAGTGGTGCTCCCCACCCCACGGAGTCCTGACATATAATAATGTTATACCTTATTTAAAAGATTTGAATAGAAAAGGAAAAAAGCACCCGTCGCTGTTCATGAATTTGTCAGTTCCACCAGCTTTATTCGTTACATATCACTTGTATTAAATAAAAATAATACAGTATTCGAAAATTTGCTTTTGTTTACTATTTTATAAATGTTTTCTCGCAATTTTGACCACTTAAAAGAATTTTTCAAATTGGTCCTTGTAATTGAATTCTTGATCGATTGTTTTTGACTCTTAACAATAAAGAAAGTTTAATTGTTTTTCTGATCCTACAGTATTGTAAAATTTATTTCTGTGGTAAAATGGAAGAACATCATGGAACTGTTTAATTTATATATAACGCCTTTCATAATCGCATATTACCTGAATCACAAAATTCATTAAGCTAAAAATGGTAAATATTTTTCAGTATAGCATTGTGAATGCAAATTCGATCAAACATGACATTTTATAGTGTTTAAAAATAACTCCATCAAACCACTCCATCCTAATTATAACAAATACAGTATAAATTATTTATAGATTCATTAAGAATATTATTAAATTATTTCATTAGATATATTACTACTCATACGAAAACGAAATTTCGTCTATTTTTTATTATATTATATAAATAATCTCATTTTTCGATCATTAAGTGTCAAGTGCTGCCTATTATTCAAAAATAACATTTACCGATATGATTTAAACAAAATTATAAGAATGATTCGAAATTTTCGTTCGAATACAAACAAAATAGGCTCTTAGGTGTCATATTAATTCGTAAGAGTTATACCAATAATTCTTCGTATATATTGAAAACTTGTAAAAAAATCACTAACACGGTGCATTTGTATTGACTGCGTCTTTACTATTAAACAAAGTCACCTTGCCATGTCTTTTTTGACTACGATAAATTCAAAACCTAAAAAAAATTATCAGACAAACCACTCCAGACATTTCCCCCTTTAAAACTAGAGCGTATCTAGAAAATCCCTGATATTTGACAGCCCTATATAATTTGCACCCGTGCTCCAAAAATAAATTATTTATATTAAAAAAATAAGTTATTCCGTTTTCTTAATACGAAGTTTAATCGGGGTCGTTCCAAAGACGAAACTAGATCTAAAACGTGTAAAATTCATCGTCCCTCAACGGTTACTTTTATTAATAAATTAAAAACAAAATCTTAATGTTAATTCTATTCTTCCACAGATAAGCTCAATAAGGTCAATAGTACAAAATCCACAATACAAGAAACTAGCTGATCTTTATCTGGATAATAATAGCATACCCACCGTAAAGGAGCTGGAAGGATCTGAGTGGTTCACCACTTTTCGAGTTTTGAGTCTCAAAGGAAATATGTTGAAACAGGTAATATGTGACATCAATTCCCTTTGTTATTTGCTTCCATAACAAACAACTTTTTAATTGTTAACAAAGTATGAGTTCATTTCTCAAGGCCTGATCTACGATTTTTTTCAACCGGAGCAGAAACTTATCACGCCCTTCCATATTCTAGCTCTGTACTCAATATCAATATTTAGTAGACTATTTCATCGTCCATCTTATGCTCTATTTTACGTATTTTAATGCAATTGAATAGAAAAGACAATGATGAAATCTACAATACATTAAGTCCGCCATTGTACTTTAAATGTGCATAAAGTATACAATAAATAATACATCGAAAATAGTTTTAACAGTATACGGCCTTTGATCTGATCTAATCGACGCAAATCTGATAATACCATATGCAAACTAGAGTTTGTTTTCTAATTTTGTCACCAGTCACTTATATAATTCCAATATTGTCACACGTAATTTATGAAATTCACATTTTACCACAAATCCTAATCTAAATGTGACAAAATACATGAATCTCAATGGCTACTACTTTATAGACTGTTTTATTAAAAGTAAAATGGAACATAATTCTTCACAGATCCCTGTATACGCATTCGATAAAGCATTTCAAGTCAACAATAATATAATGCACGTCTACCTAGGACATAATCCCTGGAGGTGTGACTGTCACTTCATACCGCGATTTCAAGGACTACTTCTGAAATACAAAAGGGTGATAGGCGACCTTCCCGATATTAGATGTTCGAAGTCAAATGACAAGAAAACATCACTTGTACAGGTAAATACATATACTTATATCTTATATTTAGAATAACTTTACTGTTGTATGTATTAAATCTCTTTAATAGAAGAACATTAGCTTCTTGGAACCTAAGCATCGTAAGTGTGATGGAGTGCTATCTGCGCGCAGTCACATCAGCAACCACATGCAGTCGTCACATTAAAATTGAGACTAGTCAATCAGATGTCGAAGTAAGGACTGTATGCAGTCAATATCATCTCCACACAAGTGCGGCCTATCTCATTAAACTTCACATTACAGAATTGATCTAATTCTTATACAACAATAATCCAAAAATTCACAATAATTAGGTCAAACGATTGTTTGTTAATTATTGTGAATTAAATCGAACAGGAAGAATGCCCAGTAAAATTTCAACAAAGAAATTAATTATGTCAAATATGGCATTCAAAGTCAATGGTTGCTTTTAATAAACCACAAATTAACGGGCTTCTTTGTTCTTTTGTCTTTGTCTAATAATAATTTAGCTCATTCAACGGAAACATTTTGTAATCCAATCGAAGAAACAAAGAACTATTTAATACCGATTCGTTTAGTTTTTTAAATATTTTATTAATTGCCTTGGTTATAGGCAATAAATAAAATATTTAAACAATTGCTTGGTCATCATTTAATTAATAACCTACAAAAAACCTTCACCCGACTTCAATAGCATTTTCTTGAATAAGTAATTCATCGGCCTCCAGCAATACAAAATATGAAACATGCGGATTCGCTGTATCTCTATCATATCTATAATCAGACAATATATTTTCGGCTAAGGATTTTCCCACGTTGGCAAAGTGCTCATTAATATAATTGACAGATTCAAAAGGAGTTGATTTTATATTGGACAACTCTACATTCCTATCAGATGGATGTTTACGCCGAGTAATGTTATTAATTACCTTCCAAAGTGTTTTTGAGCTACCAGTGGCTTTTGAGATCTGGTCTCGCTTATATTTATGTTTCAGTTTCTTAATGAGGCTATTACAGTAATTCCTATATCGCTTGTAATAAAAATAGTAAAGATAAAGTTAAAATGACGTGGAATATCATAAATAGTGAAACTGGAAGAAAAAAATTCCGGAATATAAATTTTAATTTAAACATTGATAATAAAAAAGTAACATCATATCTTAAAGTTGCTACAGTATTTGAAAATTTATTTACTGAAATTCCAGTCTTAATTACATTCCTCTTCCACTGTTGCTGAATCTATTTTAAAGGCAAATAATTGTAAAAGCCAATTTAAGTTTCAACACATTGATTTTAAAGATATAATAAAATATTTTAATTAGCTAAAGAAAAAGAAAACCGCTGATTTATGGGGTAATTCCATTGAAGTTTCTAAATCAGTAATTGAGACGATAGCTCCAATCCTAGCTTATATATTTAATGAATGTACTGATTGTGGTATTTTCCCTAAGCTCATGAAATTTAGTACAATTATTCCTTTACATCAATCAGGTAGCACTTCTGAGCCAACTAACTTTAGACCTATATCCGTGCTACCTACGTTTAGAAAGATTTTTGAAAAATTCATGCTGGATCAAATACAACCATACTTTTACAAGAATAAACTTATGAATCGACAACAATTTGGTTTTACTAGGGGTCGCTCAACAACCGAAGCCAGTATCGAGTTAATACAATAAATTTTTAATGCCTGAATCCTCACAGGATGCGTTAGGTGTTTTCTGTGACCTATCTAAGGAATTTGATTGTGTTTTTCATGAAACATCGATTAAGAAACTTCATTATTATGGAATTAGAGATAACTCATTAGATTTTATTATCTCGTACTTGACTGACAGAGTACAGAGGGTTTATATCAATGGCAAAAGATCCCCTGGATCGAAAGTTAAGATGGGTGTTCCGCAGGGCTCAATACTTGGTCCTTTCTTGTTTTTAATTTACATAAATGACTTGCCTTATTTTGAAAGGGATGATCACGAAATAGTTTTGATGTGGATGACACTTCACTTTTGTTTAAAATTAAAAGAGGGCTGTAAATGACGATGTGAACAATTCTATTGCTACAGTAGTACATTGGTTTAATGTAAATAATCTTCTCCTTAATGAAGGAAAAACAAAATGCCTAAAATTTGTACTACCTAATGTTAAAAAAGTAGATATAAATATTAATATAAAAGATAAGAACATGGGCCTTGTGGATTCCACAGTATTTTTAGGAATAACATTAGATTCTAAACTACAGTGGGGTTCATATATTGATAAATTGTCGAGTAGACTTAGCTCTGCAGCATATGCCGTAATGAAAATACGTAGGTTAACTGATAAAGCTACTGCCAGATTAGTATACTTCAGTTACTTTCATAGCGTAATGTCGTACGAAATCCTACTGTGGGGAAATGCTGCCTACTACTGCCTACATACAAACGATTTTTGTGCTTCCGAAAAGAGCAATTAGATCGATTTATAATTTTAGGGTTAGGGACTCTTTAAGGGATAAATTTAAGGAAATAGACATAATGACGGTTGCTTCTCAATACATATACGAGAAATTAATGTACGTTCGTAAAAATATAAGTTTTTTTTCTACAAAAAGTGATGTATACAATTTTAATACAAGATATAAAAATAAATTAACGATGCCTTTCACTAGACTGCAAAAAGTTAATAACTCATTCAAGGGTCTTTGATGCAGTTTAAATCTGCTATTAAAAAAATACTTATTAAAAAAGCTTATTATAAGGTCCGATTATATAACAGATAAGAATGCTTGAACTTAGATGATCCAGCAGCTGGATAGGTGATTACTTCTAAACTCATTATCTTGTTTCCATTATTATTAAATGATTATGTTATCATTATAAGACCATATTTATTTATTTTTTCTCTATCTCTGTTTATAATGTATAGATCTGGTAATGACATGGTTTTTGTAAATGTCATTACTCTTATTAGAGCTGGTGAGTTTCTTGCTCGTTATTCTTATCAGCCAAAAGACGTCCTGAACGAGTGGAAGGGAAAAAAATGTTGGATGATTCAAAAGTACTTTTAAGAAGTTTATTTGAATAAAGATTATTTTGACTTTGACTTTATTATTTAACACTTTTTTAGTTTGACGACTGTTCTACTTTTTAAAAAAGTTTTTATTTCATTCTTTTTAGTAATGGTGATATTCTTTACATACTAGGTAACACTAAAATATGAAACATCTAAGTATGTAAATCAAAATATTTAACATGGTTAAAATTTAAGAAAAGGAGATTTTGTTTATTTGCTCGACATATATTTTTTTTTCAATATTCTATATTCATATTTTAAAGAGGAGGGATTTGATTGCTTGTTTGATTGGATAGACCCTGAAAATATTAAACCAATCCTATTAATATTATAAAGGCGAAAGTTTGTAAGTATGGATGTATGGATGTTTGTTACTCTTTCACGAAAAAACTACTGGACGGATTTGGATAAAACTTTACAGCAATATAGGTTATACATCAGAATAACACATAGGGTACTTTTTACTGGGAAAACTTCTCACTCCCACGGGATACCGACTTCCACGCGGACGAAGTCGCGGGCGTCCACTAGTTTATAATAAATCTTTCAATGTAAATATACGAGTCTTTCATCTACATAGTCTGTATTTGACGCAGGCGAAGTCGCGAGGAAACTGCAAGTTTGAGAGAAATTCATTCACAATTAAAGAAGAAATCGATGTAATAGATATGAAATGCTATTGAAAATAAATCTAACTACGATAATCATACATAGACACAATTATATTATTAACATGTTTAAATAAATAGTTTCTTCTAAATATTTTTATAGTTTGCGTTATTCAAACAATCGATCTTAGAAAAGGATTGGACTATAAATTATTTATCAAAGAAAATACTGGAATGCTTTGATATAATCCAACTTTGACCTTTACAACTGGAGCTTTAAGCCAGTCAAAGAATTTAGGAAGGGAATTTATATATTCTTTAAGATACCCTAAAAAAAGGATAAATTGAATACAGGGACCTACCCAATATGTGCATTCTAGCGGATATAACTTGGAAAACATTCAAAGTTCATTTCATACACAAATTGAATACAACATACTGATCATATTTATGTAAACCAATACATAAGTACCAAAGGTGTAGCGGCAACCGTTTTACTATAATCTACTAACCTTCCCCCAGCGGTTCCCCCGCGTGATCCGGTATTATACATTTAGACCTTCCTCTTAAGTCCCTCTGTATATTGATAAAAACTATTACAATTATAAGTAAATATTAATATTATGTACAAATAACCTACCTAAAACTTCCTCTAGACTTCAATAGAATTAAATTATATCATCGTTTTTTTTAGTCTGTTTTTTTTATAAAACCATTTTATATAATAGTCTGCTATTGTATTATTAAATAAATCAACGTTTTAAGTTTACGTAGACCTAGTCATTATTTCGGAGTTCCGATCTGTCTAACCGATTGGACCTGTGCTTGACAGGGGTTTTTTGCTTATTTTAATGATACGGGTATCGCAGGGTTCTGTATGGTTGTTAAGTGTCCAACATCCTTTTATTTTTCTGTTTTTTATCTAAAGTTATGTAGATCAATATTCATATAGCCATAGAGGGACGGCCTGAGGGTAATATTGCACCAGACTAGAAATTAAAGTTTATGTGAAATTTAAAAATTGCGGAAATTTTTGCACTAAACTCTTTTTTGGCATAGTAAAACAATAACTTAAACCAGCGAAGCTTATGAAGTATTATTAACAGTTCAAGTTATGACGTCTTAAAACCATTGCCAAATTATTCTGCAACCAACCCTAAAGTAAAAGTTAGAAGTCAATGATAAATCACCGGTAATATCAAATTCTATTGAGAAAATATCGACTTGAGATATAAGATGTAACCTCGGAAGAGACGAACAGCGATTACTTTTAGAGAACTCTAACCACAGAAAAACATTGTTTATTTTGCAAACACAATATAAATGGCCGGTTCCTGTAATTCCACATTAATTAAC